TATATATATATATATATATATATATATATATATATATATATATACACTGCCTGACCTAAAAAATATCACCACCTCGAATCAGTTCCTATTTTGTTCCATCCCACCAACTACGTTTTTGCTGCCTTGTCTGCTTTTGTTTTGTTTAAATAAATAGAAATATTTTATTTTGACCTTAGAGTCTCCCGTGTCTGAGTGCACGTGGGCTCAACACATTAACAATCATGTCATGTCACCAGTTTTGGCTCCCATTGGGTTACGTGTGTATTTAACATAGAAATAATTTACTGATAAACACAATCTGGAAATGTTTCATTAATGTCAGTGTTTGTCATTTTTTGTTTCAGTTTCCAGAAATGGACAACATTGCAAGAGAACAGAAGAAAACTTCCAACAAGATCATTTTCTTTCTGATCCAGAATGTAGGGCTGCTTACTGGGTTCACCATCATTCTGCTAATAACTTTGTTTGCAGGAAATATAAACTTGGGCTAAGAAACTGGGAAGCAATTATTGTGCGCAGCCTTTGTTTCCCAGCTCACCCAGTTATGCATAAAAATGAATGTAATCTGCATATTTTGTACAAAGAAAACCAAATCTTTAAGGAAAAGAATGTTTTAATACTGCTGAACTACCAATTTAGCATAATATTTACTTAATGACAAGGGAATGTTTTTACAATCAACATGTGTAAAATCTATTCAGATATATTTTAAGGAGATAATAAATTATTTTAGTCTTCAAAAATTGTGTTTTTTTTCTCACATTTGTTGTAAGACACTTTACACTTTATACACCAAAGAGAAAAGCTTAATAAAAATTACAAATTTAATTTTTGCCACATTCATTAAACACTGAAGCCTTTTATTTTTATTTACACTGTACATGCAACATTTTTATTATATCAGAGTATTATAAGCTTATTTGACTACTTATTGATAAGCAGTTGATATTTTATGCATGTAAATATTTTATTTCGATGAAAGGATTTTAAAAAATACAACTGCAATGAATCTTAACAGTATATACCAACAAAATGTCTTAAATTGAAAACCTTAGTTTGTATTTACTTAGACCCATAGATATAAACACTAGATCCCTCATTGGTGCTGCGGCGCAGGAATTTTGGCCGCCATCTTGGAGCGGTCGTCCTTATTTGGTTAAAGCAGAAGATGTTTCAGCACTTTCTTAGCTTATTTCTGTTCAAATCAACGGACTGTTGACAACAGGTCTCGGGTGATAACTTTTCACAAGTAAGATGAACATATTATTGTTAGTATTTTGAGAATGGAATATTACTGTACTGTATTTATGTCCACCAGCTGATGTGATGTTCAGTGTAACACCGGTGTTCAGCTGCAATGAAGCTAACTGAGATCTGATGACTGGAATATTTTTCTAACAAGCATACTCACAATTTCAGTAGCTTTGGTTCATTATCAACAGATATGCATCAAAACTGGAGTTTTGTTTAAGTTCTAGGATATATATATTAAAAAAACTAGGAAGAATATAGGAAATAGAAAATAAGATTGACCTCCTTTGTACAATGTTTTTGTGTAGACACAAATCTCCTGTTTTCATTTTCAAGGTTTCCCAAAGAACAAGATGTGAGGAAGAGGAGGAAGTATCTTTGAGGAGGATTCATCTGAGCAGTGAGGATTTTAAACTGGAGGATTTTGATCAAACTG